AAATATCAATGAGAGAGAAACATCAATCAGCTGCCTCCTGCACATCTCCCACTGGGGATGTGCCCGCAACCCAGGCACATGCCCTTGATCGGAATCGAACCCGGGACCCTTCAGTCCGCAGGCCAATGCTCTATCCACCGAGCCAAACCGGTTTCGGCTGTTGTTTGCATTTTTTGGTTTATTTGTTGGTTTTCAAAGTTTTCTCCCTCTACACCTATATTTTCCCCCTTCCCGTTTTTCTTCTTTTTCTTTCCTCTTTTACCTTTTTTCCTTTTCTCAAAATCATTTTTGTGCTCTTTCTATCCCCTAATTCTCTTTTCTCTGGTGGTCACCTTTATTTGGGGTTATTGGTGTTTTGAATACATTCGTGCTTTGTTCCCTCTGTGTTGTGTCTTGTTGAGTTGTATTTTGTGCCTTTTGGCCAGTGTGGTAGAGAGTGAGCCACATAACCAGGCACCCTGAGGGGAGCAAAAATGGGGGAGACAAAAAGCCCCCACATGAAAGAAAAGGAGAAATCACAAGAAAAGAAGTAAATAAAATGGAGGCAAGCAATTTATCAGAGAAAGAATTCAGAGCAATGGTGATAAGGATGCTGAAAAAGATGGAAGACAAATTCTACAACATGGGTAAGAATCAAAAGGATATGAAGAAGAAGCAAGGAGAAATGAAGAATGACATGGATGCAATAAAGAACAGAATAGAAAGCATCAACCGTAGACTAGAAGAAGCTGAGGACCCCATCAGTGAGCTAGAAGAAAAGGTAGGAAAAAACATGCAAGCAGAGCAGCAAATGGGAAAAAAAACCAGGAGGAGAGCCTAAGGGAGCTTTGGGACAATAAGAAATGAAACAATAGGGATGCCAGAAGAAGAGGAAACTGAGTAAGGAATAGAAAACCTGTTTGAAGAAATAATGACAGAAAACTTCCCTGATATTGGAAAGAAAAAACTCACACAAGTCAAAGAAGATCGCAGAGTCCCAAACAAGATGATCCCAAGAAGACCGACATGGAGACACATCATAATTACACTGCAAATACCAGTGACAAAGTAAGAATCTTAAAGGCTGTTAGAGAAAGACAGAAAGTTACCTAGAAGAAATCTTCCATTAGACTATCAACTGATTTTTCAACAGAAACACATCAGGCCAGAAGCGAATGAAATGAAATACACAAAGTGATGCAAAGCAAGGGACTGAATCCAAGAATACTATACCCAGCAAGGCTATCATTCAAAATTGAAGGGGAAATCAAAGAATTAGAAAGAGAGCAACAAGAAAATCCCAGAGTAAGAATAAGGAAGGAAATAATAAAGATCAGAGTGAAAATAAACGACATAAAGACCAAAAAAAAAATACTAAAGATCAATAAAACCAAGAGCTTGTTCTTTGAAAAGATAAACAAGATTGATGAACCTCTAGCCAGGCTCACCAAAAAGCAAAGAGAGAGGACCCAAATAAACAAAATCAGAAATGAAAGAGGTGAAGTAATAACTGTCCCCATAAAACTACAAAGGATTATGAATAAATATTATGAGCAATTCTATTCCAACAAATTGGACAACCTAGACGAAATGGACATATTCTTAGAAAAATACAAGCTTCCAAACTCAATCAGGAAGAACAAAAAAACCTGAATAGGCTGAAAACTACCGAAGAAATTGAAACAGCAATCAAAAACCTTACAGCAAACAAAGCCCTGATCCGGACGGCTTTACAGGGGAGTGCTATCAAGCATTCAAAGAAGAACTAAAACCTATCTTCCTCAAACTATTCCAAAAAATTCGAGAAGGCACACTTCCAAGCTCTTTCTATGAAGCCAGCATTACCCTAATTTCAAAACCAAATAAAGACACCACAAAGAAAAAGAACTACAGGCTAATATCCTTGATGTACATAGATCAGGGGTGGGCAATAATAATAATAACAATAGGAATGATGGAATCAACTTGGTGGGTTTCCCTAAGGATCTGGGCAGGGAGTCATTGTGGCTCTCTGTAAATTATATACCTGCAGACAGTTGGGATTTTTCGTACCGTATTGCACTTGTCATTACTATTTGCCAAGTCCTGGCCCATCCCTCTGCCAACTGAGACCATGAGTCAATCTTCTCCAGTTCTGTGGAAAGTTCCACTGAGATGTGGTTCTGGTTGTCTCTCCCTTTCCCAACCAGGAATGGGCAGTCCTGTGGCATGCCATCTTGACTCCGCTTTGAGGTGCCAATGAGGATTCTGGGCATCAAGAGGTGGTATTATGTCCAAAACAAAAGCAGGTCAACATCTGGGTCAGGAGCTGACTCCATGATCCAGCTGGACTCCTCATATATTTCTTCCCCCAGGAAGCCCACATCCACTGCTGGGGTGCTTCTCACCTCAAGACCTTCAAATCCATTCTCTGGAATCTCCGGTCCTGAGACCTTTAAACCTACATCTCTCCTTAGCAAAAGATCCCCAAATCCACAGCCACGTATTCTGTCTTATTCCAATACCCTTAAATCTTTTATTCTTCTCTCCCAAGACCCCAAACTCCACAACTTTGATGTTCTTTCTCACCCTGAGTTCCCAAATCCCAAGCTCAGGGACTCACACATGCAAATATTCCAGAATCTTCAGCTCTGAAATTTGTCTACTATCTCGCCCTCCCCGTAAGTCCACAGTCCTGTACTATCCCCTCAGAAGAAGCCACAAATTCAGACTTGTTAATCTGCTCTGGAGTCCCTTCCTCCTCCATTGCTGGCTGCATCCCAAGCTAGTCGGGAGCTTGGTGGGAGGTGTAACTGGGAGGTGAAATGAAACAGTTATATAATCAGGTCCAAAGGCCGCCCCTCTCTGCCAGTTAATATAAAGACAAGCTGTCCCAGCCATCACCATGTGACTCTCACTCTCAGTGCCACCATGCTGGCCTCGGGATTTGTTAACCAATGTTACCTCATTTTGTAAAAAGACAAAAAAAAAGATTAGGAGATTTCTACTTACCAAACCCTTGCTAATCTTCCTTTTCTCAACAAAACAAACAACTTTCCTCTCTCTGCTTCATTCTCCACCCTTTGTTCCATCCCTACAGGTCTCAGAGTACAGGGGCTTAGAATGTTTTGAGCAGCATGCCCGTCCTCAGAGTGCCAGGCTCACCCACTTGCACTTACCTGAAATTAGAGGTGGCACCTGAGCAGGATGGTCCAAATATTGGAGCCTGCCCAGTGGCCGTCAGGATCCCCTCTCAGGCCCACATAGGACCAATCTCAGTGCTCATCTGGTGCTCATGCTGGAGCCTGCTGGGATCAACCTCAGAGCCCACATGGTGCCATCATATGCCTTCTGGAAGCCAGCCTCAATGGGCCACCTGGGTCTACTCTCAGAGCCTGCTCAACACCAGTGGTGCTCTACTACTGCTCTCCTGGTCTCAAGTTCAGTGTCAACTCATTTTCAATCCTAGTGTCTACTTGGAAACAAGCTCAATGTCAATGTGAGGGCCCTCTGTCCCAGGGCTACCTGATGCCAATAGCAGAACCTGCCAATGCTAATGCCAATCTCAGCACCCACCTGCTGCTAAACTTGGTCTCCACTTGGCCCCCAGGGTGGGCTAGGCCAGTCAATGGAGAAAGCAGGAGAGAGTATTCAAAGCCCAACTTCATCACTTTTTACTTGTGACCTCCAGCAAAATGGCTTTATGGAGTCTTGGTTTTAACTGCAAAGTAAGAATGATAATGACCCAGCCCATTCTTATAAAGATTCCATAAGATCCTGCACACAGAGTCAATCTCCACAATTAGTGCTCACCAAGGGGAAACAGTCCTCATTATTAAGAAAGAATGCCAGTGAGGAGAGGACAACAAAGTCACTCATCCTTTCTCTACCCGCCTCCGCCCCTCCGCTCCTCAGCATCTCAGGGCCCACCTCTGTTCCTAACACTGAAGATTACCCAAATTTCTCCAGTTTTGGTTTCCTCTGACTGATAATAGCAGCCTTGCTGAGCCAGGAATCACCTTGAAAATACACACACCCTCAAATATAACCTTTCCACTGGTGGCAAACTCAATCCCAGAAAGGGGGAATAAAAGTTAGAAAGCAGGAGAGACATATGTGCCCCCTGCCCAACTTCTGTTCTCTGCCCTCATCTTAACCCTATATAAAATGGGAAGCATTAATAATAATAATAATGACAATAACAATAGAAACGATACAATCAACTTGGTGGGTTTCCCTACCAACTTGGTGGGTACTAACCCCTAAGGATCTGGATGGGCAGGGAGTCACTGTGGCTCTCTGTAAATTATATACCTGCAGACAGTTGGGATTTTTTTGTACCGTATTGCACTTGTCATTACTATTTGCCAAGTCCTGGCTGATCCCTCTGCCAACTGAGACCATGAGTCAATCTTCTCCAGTTCTGTGGAAAGTTCCACTGAGATGTGGTTCTGGTTGTCTCTCCCTTTCCCAACCAGGAATTCCCCCAGGAAGCCCACATCCACTGCTGGGGTGCTTCTCACCTCAAGACCTTCAAATCCATTCTCTGGAATCTCCGGTCCTGAGACCTTTAAACCTACATCTCTCCTTAGCAAAAGATCCCCAAATCCACAGCCACGTATTCTGTCTTATTCCAATACCCTTAAATCTTTTATTCTTCTCTCCCAAGACCCCAAACTCCACAACTTTGATGTTCTTTCTCACCCTGAGTTCCCAAATCCCAAGCTCAGGGACTCACACATGCAAATATTCCAGAATCTTCAGCTCTGAAATTTGTCTACTATCTCGCCCTCCCCGTAAGTCCACAGTCCTGTACTATCCCCTCAGAAGAAGCCACAAATTCAGACTTGTTAATCTGCTCTGGAGTCCCTTCCTCCTCCATTGCTGGCTGCATCCCAAGCTAGTCGGGAGCTTGGTGGGAGGTGTAACTGGGAGGTGAAATGAAACAGTTATATAATCAGGTCCAAAGGCCGCCCCTCTCTGCCAGTTAATATAAAGACAAAGGCCCCCCCTCTCTGCCAGTTAGTATAAAGACAAGCCGTCCCAGCCTTCACCATGTGACTCTCACTCTCAGCGCCACCATGCTGGCCTCGGGGATGCTTCTGGTGGCTTTGCTGTCCTGCCTGACAATAATGGTCTTGATGTCTGTCTGGCGGCAAAGGAAGTTCTGGGGAAAGCTACCTCCTGGTCCCCGAGCGCTGCCCTTCATCGGGAACTACTTGCAGCTGAACACAGAGCAGATGTACAACTCCCTTATGAAGGTGTCACGAGGCAGGGATATGGGTGTTAGGGTGGGGTTGGTGGGCCTTCCCAGTCTGGCTGAGACTTTGTGGCAGAGAATTGGCAAGGTTGGACTGAAATCTTAGCAAGAAGGAGGTTTTTTTTTTGTTTGTTTGTTTGTTTTTTAGATATATGCTTTTATTGATTCCAGAGAGAGAGAGACGAAGGGAGAGAAATAAATAGAAAGAAATGTCATTGGAGTCCAAAACCTGGAAATGTGCCCTGACCAGGAACCA